AATGCAAGCAGAAAAATATCTATAATTTGTAGAGCCAACATTTTCCACCAGTATCAGTCACACCTGAGGGCACTTGGAAAAAAGGTTGTACATTCCAGGGTTTGTCAATTTTTGTCAAATAAATAATGACTAATATTTTCAGTAGTGGGTTGCAAGGTGGAGCGGTGGCTAGCACCATTGCCTTGCAGCAAGAAGGTCGCTGATTCGCGTCCCAGTGAGGACACCCGGGATCTTTCTGTGGGGAGTTTGCATGTTCTCCCTGTGTGGTGTGGGTTCTCTCCGGGTTCTCCGGCTTCCTCCCACACAGTCCAAAAACATGTTGAGGTTAATTGGTGATTCCAAATTGTCCATAGGTGTAAATGTGAGTGTGCTTGGTTGTGTGGCCCTATGATAGACTGGCGACCTGTCCAGGGTGTCCCCTGCCTTCACCCTAAGTCGGCTGGGATAGACTCCAGCCCCCTGCGACCCTAGTGAGGATTAAGCGGTGTATAGATGATGGATGGATGGATGATTTTAGGCTTACATTGAGTCACTGATGACTAGTTCAAGGGTCATTAAAAAGTTGTGAATCCAGCAATTCTTTTTGTTTTGAGCTTCTGACGCTGACAAATGATGTAATTTTGCCATTTTTCACAGGACAGCATGCTTTTTAAACCTACTGGCATGCTTTTTTACCTTCTCTTAGGACTTTTGAACATATTTCAAGATGTTTTAGGCCACATTTATGCAGAGAATTCTAAAGGCTTTACAAACTTTCAAGCAACACTGTAAACCATGGAACATTGTACATATTAGTCACCTCACATGAATATGCAAGAGAATATAGCAAAACTTTATTCATTACACCGTTCTTGCCTTGAGCTATTTTTGTTCTGAAAACTGCTGGCCAGAACGGGATAACTTGTGCTTCGTATCTACGTGTTGTTTTCCTGATTCGTTTCTTGTCTTCACCGTGTTCCTGGGTGTGCTTGTCATATTTTATTTTTTCCACTCTCTGCCATTGGAGGTCTTTTGTTCTGCTTCCGTTCCATGTTTCACTCCCTGTACATACGTCCGTCTGTGTGTGTGTGTGTGTCAGCCCTCCTATATTCTGTCTGCTGTCCCCTCTGCTTGTCTACCTGCCTCGCTGCGTGTTTGTTTATTTGCTCTCTGTCGGTCAGCTTCTAGCTTACGCTGTTTTTCCTTCTCTGTGTCAGTGTTTCTCCAGCTGTCAGAGTTTCTCTCTCTCTGTAAGTCCCTTGTCCCTTTCTCTCTTTCTCTAACATCATCGCCCATGGATGCATATATGCGCATGTGTGTGTGTGTGTGTGTGTGTGTGTG